TATTCTCATTCCTAGGGCTGCTGTGGTTTAAAATCCCTGGCTTTGCCTCTGGGTGTAAGGACCCCGCAGGCCTGGGCAAACTGAGCTTACTTAGTATCTTTCGTACTAAGTTATAGTGTAGCCAGCCCTGGAAAAAGCTCTGGAAGAATTTGAGCTGGAATTCCCTGTTTTCCACCTAGCTGTGCTACCAGGCAGGACATACACTTTCCTGGATTACCATGTCTTCTTCTCTAAAGCAGGTTGGATGAAATCAGTGGTTTACAATCTGTGTCCCACAGTGTCTCTTAGGGGCAGCCACGGGTGTCTATGGAAGTAGAAGAGGTGATCTGGCAGTGTTGTGGGCTTGCTAGCATTCACGCTTCAATGACAGAACAGCCCTGTTTGTGCGTGTGTGTGTGTGTGTGTGCACTTGATCTACCTGTCTCCCTCTGCTCCTGATTCTAGGATGAGATTTTGTTTGATCAAAAGGTTCTATCTCTAAAGATACTTTGAAAAACAATGCACCAAATAGTCCTTAAGTTTCTTTCTAGTTCTAACTTTCTGTGAGCTTATAAACGCAGTTTTAAAGAGAGAACTGCATTATCTTTAACTAAAACATGATCTTTAAAATTTGCTGCAAAATCTTTTTAAATTAGAAATTTCAGAAATAACCTCAAAGAGCAAAATCAATGTTAAAAATCTGTGCCTGAATACTTGGAAATGGCAACCTATAAGGCCAACTGCATGGTTTCTACATTTTTCAGCAAAAGATGTATAATTCAATTTACTTTTGATTCTAATTTTTAAAAATATTTATCCTTTTTCTTCTTCAGAGATAACTGTAAGATATCATTCACAGTCAGAAGTCACTAGAATATACCTTACAACAGAAAAGTATCAATCCTTAAAGATACCATGAGGTTCATTTTCCATCTGTTCTTTTTCCCTTCAAAATTTATCATGTCACTGATAGACACATCAGCTGGTTCCTGTTTCTTTTCCTTTGTGACAGTCTATCAATATGGTGGCTGATATTAGAGAAAGAGATGGAATGTTTTTCTGAAAGGGTTGCTTTTATTGAGTCCATATTTTGGGGGCACTTGTTTTAAATCAGTGCTCAGTCTGCAATGATTAAGCAATTAATGCCTATTTCACTAAATAATAATAACACTATTATTTATTGATGGACTACTCATAAAGGTTGTAGCTTCAAGAGACTGTCATTCTAGAACAACTCTACCCAATAGAACTTTCTACAATGATGGAAATATTCTATAAATGTGCTAAGTAGTTCGAATGTGCCTACTGGGATGAATTAAGTTTTAATGTTAATGAAGATAATTTGAGCTGTCTTCAGTGCCTGGCATGTGAAAAAGTCAATAAATGACTGGATGCTCTTAATAGGTTCCCCCTCCCCTGCACACCAGATCTCCCCAGCTCCAGGGTAAAGACACTTAAAAATGTTTCCCTGAAGATTGCCAGAGCTATAGACACACCCTTCACAGCTATCCTGGTCTTTCTGGAAGTTAACAGCTAAGGAGTGTCTCTCTTACTATAAGTGCTGCTGACTGTCCTCTAACTTCCTGTGCTTCCATGCTTAGCACCTTCTCAGGTGTGTGGCTTCCAGACTTCCAGCCTTTACTCCACCCTGGTCCAACCCAGGACTCCTAAATGTCTCCTACAAGGCCTAAGCTCCCCTAGAGTCCTTGGATGTTTGCGGCCATCTGGACCACTCTACAGTATGCTGCCCTGACCTTGTTCGGTTGGGTTCATGCAGTGTTCAGTTATGGATCCTAAAATGGGCATCACCAAACTAAGGTCCGATCAACAGGAGAGGTCTGAATCATGCCATATGGCACAGTTGAAGGGACTAAAAATGCATCACTTAGCAACAGTCCCCAACCTTTTTGGCACCAGGGATTGTTTTTCATGGAAGACAATTTTTCCACAGATCCTGGCAGAAGGAGATTGTTTCAAGATGACTCACACACATTACATTTATTGTGTTCTTTATTTATATTATTCTTTATACATTTTAGAGGTACACTTGGGCTCAAAAAGGTGACGTGACTTTCTCCAGGTTATCTAGTTAGGAAGCAGCAGATCTGTGATTCCTGTCTACACCCTGGCTCTCAAGCTTGCATTCCTCTTGATTTTTTAATTTTTTTTATTTTGCTATGTTTGCTCTTGCTATGTTTCCCAGGCTGGTCTTCAACTCCTGACCTCAAGCAATCCTCCTACCTCGACTTCCTAAAGAGCTGGAATTACAAGTGTAAACCACCACACCCAGCTTCAAGCTTGTATTCTTAACCACAAAGCAAAGCATTATAGAAGAGGAAAAGTTTTTAAAAATCAATGCAGAGGATGAATCTAAAAGAAACTGGATTCTGGGTGACTATAAATAAAGGTTTTCTAATAATTCAAGCTATTCACCACCCAACATTTCACTCTGTGTAGTACAGTGGGCCCCTCATTAGCTGCTTGCAAGCCTTGGCTTAGCGCTGACAGATCAGGAACATGGTGGAAAGCATTCTTGAACAAGTGGGAGCTCACAAGTAGTAGATGGGCTCTCTGAGTGCTTCCAAATCAAATTTCTTCTGAATATAATTTCCTCCCTTTAGGACATTCATTGTCAATTTATTCTCATATGGTGACTTTTTTATTTTCCATCCAATTGATAAAGACGGTTCTTTTTCTGTGTAAAGCCAGAATGCCTTGATACTGCCATAGGCAGGGTGTTCTCTCCCTGTAGATGAGCCTGGATAGGAATCCAAATAATTTTTCACTGAGGAATAAAGAATGGATCATGGAAACTCTAAGGCGACTGCAAAAAGTATTTTAAGCACTTGGCAAACTTTATTTAACTTTGTTGGTTATTAATGATCAGTGAAATAAGAGGTAGGAGAAGGAGAAAATGTCATTAGATTCTAAGTTATGCAATGAGCCCTTCAATAATTGAGTATATGCTATTATTATTTTAATATAACCCTTAGTATTGTGATGTGCCCCTTAATTATTTCTGATATACTTCATATGTGCCTTTATTTTTCAGGTATGAATTGATATTTTGATTTTTTTTTTTTTTACAAATGCATTTTCTGTTTTACAAGAAAATGCACTGAGTATACTAAAGTCCAGGTTTTGATATATATTTGTATTTTCAGAAAGGGTGTTGAGTTTCTCTAATTAGAATATAAGCACTATTGGACATAACATTGACATAACTAAGGGACTAGAGATCTTCCCCCTTATGAACAGTCAGGATTTGCTTTGGGAAAAAGTATTAATAATATATTTTCTTACTGCTTATCCCACTTTCCTCCTCAACTACTCCTTATCATGCCATCTCCAGCCAACCCTCCCTACTCTCTCCTAAATTACATAATTTGTGCTAGTGATTGGAAGAAAGTGCATACATAATCTGAGGGGGTTTACATACAGCTGCTTCCATGGAGATAGTTGTAAACGATGATTATGGAGGAAGCTTTTATTCTTGAAGTGATTATCACATGTAATAAGCTTAAGAGAGGAAATAATACATAAAGATGTGGCACATATGAGGTGAAACATTAGGCTTGATAGATAGAACTTACAGGATTTAATGACAAGCATGGGTGAGATCAGTATTTCAGAAGATGAGGGAGATTGAGGAATTGAGTCGGGATTTCTATCCTGGGAGTCTAGAAGTGAGGTTCTATATGAAGTACAGGTTTTGAAGAAGGGTAGGGCATTTCTAGGCAAGGTAAAGAACACAAGGAACATAAGCAGAGAAGTGGGGGAGGAAAGGGTATGTTTGAGGACTGCTGGGCAGTTTAGCTTATAGCAGAGCTCAAGAAGAGGAGAAACCAAAGTTAAGGAAGGAAAGTAAGCTTGGGGCTACATTGTGAAGATCCTTAAGTATCAGTGGAAAGTTTGTTATCAGCCTGGTGTTTTAGCCCCCTTCCTCTCCGGAGGTTGGTATTTTTCATTAACTCTGCCACATGTATATGTACTCTCTCTCCCCTATGAATAAGATCCTTCATCATATTTATTTTGATTTATAGCACTACTGCTGAACAGATTCTAGATTTAATATGTTGGTTGTTGACTATATATAAATCACTGTGACTATATAGCTCCTTTTATATTTTATGAATTCATATTAATTTATGGTACAAATGTTACGTAATAAATATTAGAAAAATTTGTTTCATGCATTATGTATGTCAGTGTGTATATAGTTTCTGTAAGTAGAGTTGGTTTAAGAGTACATTTGCTTAAAGCAGAAAATAAAACATGTTTTCTTTTTAGATATTTCAATTTGAACAGATAATTAACATGTGACCAAATTAGGACTCACTCTTTCACATTCTAATTTCAGCTATGGAATCTTGTAACTCAGCAACTGTCTCCCTCTCTTCCTTCCCTTTATTTTACAGATGAGGAAAGAGGTTTGTCCCAAAGTCACACAACCAGTTAATGCCAGGGCTAAAACTGGGTTCTCTGGTATCTTTCTACCACATACCCCTTCTTATCTCAAATCAGTGACTATTAAAAGCCAAAGCATTTAAAGGCCAGTGCACATTTACAAAGTTAATTTCATAGACCACATCAAAATGGTACAGTAGTCATATTTTACTTAATGGCATTACATTAGCAGGCAGGCATAGTGTCTAACAAATCTGTTATTGTTATTACAAGTGGTACCTCCAAATTCCTAACAAAAGTTAACCTGTGGCAATATTGGGAACAAACAGAAGGGCACTGTTCACAATGAGTACATTTCCTCTCCTCCATATGGCTACTTTATCTGAGTTTGTAATCGAGCCTTTAACAATTGGTCATTGGGCCATCCTGGAGCATCAAAGTCGTAGCACTTGGAGACCCATAAAAAGCCCCATGTGATGGTCACTGCAACTGTCCTCTGTATTATTAGCAGGCACTAATGGCTCTGTTCCTCTGGATCTGTGTTTGTCCTTGCAATTCTGGGACCTTCTCTAGGGAAGAAGCTGGACTGATTTATCTCCATCACCCCAATGCAGGCACACCACCAAGCACGCGGTATGTGCTCAAGACTAGTTGAAGCAATGTCTGAACACTTCCAAGGGACAGAAAAGCAGCCTGCCTGAAAAACTGCAGGCTGTTTCTGGGTCCTAACCAGTGTTAATTCACCTGGAAGCAAAGGCAGTTTTCACCCCTCCAATGAGCCCCGTTTTCCTCTTCCAGGTAAGGCCCAGGAAAACACCAAATAAGGAAGATAGAGCGTAAATTAGGCTTGAGTGGCTGCAATTCACTTGGGAGGCCTTATTGTTTTCTGTCCTTTGTCCCCAACTCGATCCCTGCCAGCCCTGAGGCCCCGCGCAGCCCTGGGAAGACTGAACCCAGGAAGGCAGAAGAGGGGGGAACTGAAAAGCCGCGGAACCAGAGGCGGAGAGATGGCGCGGACGCGGGGGAAGGAAGAGCGAAGGGACCCGCAGGCCCGGCTCTGAGGAGGCAGCGGCGGCGGCGTGGGGATGGAGCCCCTGCGGGTCCTGGAGCTGTACAGCGGCGTGGGCGGCATGCACCACGCGCTGAGAGGTGAGAGCCGACCGCGCGGCCCTCTCAGTATTCGCTCGAGGCCTTTGGTTCAAGCACCGGCGCCAGGGAGGGGCGGAGCGGCGAGACGCCGGGGGCGGAGACGGGGAGCGGGGAGGGAGGAAGAAGCCCTTGGTTGTCCTGGAAACCGCCCCCGGGCGCCGCCCCGTCGGCCCCTCCAGCCGGGGACTTCCATCACCCGGCGCCGAGCCGCCTCCTAGGGCCCAGTTTCTGAGCTGGGAGTCTCAGGGCTGTAAATCAAACTCAAAAGGTATCGACAAAGTTAGGGAGACGGGCGAGCTCCAGGCCTAGTGCCAAGCCCCAGTGCTAAGTGTGCCGTCCCCTAGAAGCCTGGACTCGGTCCTTTACCCCAGGATGTCACAGCGGGGGAGGGGAGGGAGCTGAGCAGGAAGCGCCCTTGAGAGATGGGTCTTGAAAGATTAACCCCAGTTCAAGGTAGAAGTTAGTTAGTGAATACTAAATAGGACTGTAGGGGAAGCATAGAGGAAAAACTGGGAAGTCTGATTTTTGGAAAGAAGTATGTGGTTTTTCTGTAGTTCTGCGTTTAGATGCCAGAGAACTGAGTTCAAACTGGAGTTCAAGCTTTGTTGCAGTGTGACCTCTAGCTAGTTCTTTAAAATTTTAAAACCTGTTTCCTGGTTTTAAAGTATGAAACGTAGTACTTTCAGAGGAGGATTATGATGATTATTAAAGATGAGGCCTGTAAACTGCTTATTAGTGCCTTACACATTGTAGTCACTCCAAATATAAATTATTATCACTATCACTTTTTATGTGCCTTTTTCATTTTGAGGTTTTAAATTTCTTTGGTGCTAAGTTGGAACTGAAAGATTTATTTTTGGTGATATTCATTCAAAAATATTTGAGTTCCTATTCTGTGCCACGTTCCGTGCTAGGCACTGAGATATGGAGTGACGAATAAGCTTTGAACTTGCCCAGTGTTTATTCTTAAATTACTAAGACAACCACCAAACTGAAACTTCCCTGCTTCCTTGTTTGGTACCAAGGGTAACACAAAACCAACACTGTAAGACACAAACAGTATATAATGGGTTGAGCATGTAAGTTTTTTGAGCAGATGTATTGAGTTTTGATTCTAGACTAGGTTAGTGAATATTAAATTTTTACTACTTAATTTGCTAGCTTTTTAGCTTCATTTCTCATACTAAAACTTACCAGTATGAAACAAAACAAAAACTCTAATACTATTTGCACTCTTAATTTTGTAAGGTTACATAATGTTCAGCATTTTCCAGTATCTTGAAACCATGAAGATGATTTTAAAAGTTGCTTAGTACTTTATCATAAACTGTAATTCAGCTACTCCTTAAATGTTGAATACGTAGATTATTCCTCATTTTTTTAGCAAGTACAATGTGCTGTAGCCACATCCTTGAGCATAAATCCTGATTTTCTCTTAAAGGTTTTCTAAATGTTGAATCAAGTCATTCAACAATGAGATTTATTATGTGCTAGTTATTGAGTGAAAAACTAAAGGCTTTTCATAAGCTAAGATAGCAAGTTGCTTTTCAGAGGTTTATGAGTGCCTTGCTCAACTACATATTCATCAGGATTACACATTATCCATTTTCAACTTTTGCTAATTTGATTGGGGAAATTGTATAATTTTAACTAAATTTTTTTGAGTTAATGGAACGGTTAAATATTTTTTATCCTGTTAGCCAATGCAACCTGAATTTCTACAGTTTTTCTATTGCCACTGCTACTATACTAAATCTAAGATACTATCATCTCTGATTTAAATGATTAAAATAGTTTCCCAACTGTTCTTCCTTCCACTCTGCCTTCCTATTCCATACATTCTCCACATTGCAAGCAGAATGATCTTTTCCACAGTAAATCAGATCATGTCACTTCCCTGCTTAAATGGCTTCTCTTCGAGGTTAGAATCACAGTCCCATATTCCTACTAGGACTGTGAAATCTGGCTTCTGTCTCCTCTTCAGTCTTACCTGCTACTGTTTCCCTGTTTCTCTAGTCTAGGCTCTCTAGTTTTCTTTTTCTCTGTTCCTCAAACCTTCCAAATTCCTTTTATGTTGTGGCCTTTGCTTTTGCTGTTACCTTCAACCGGAGTACTCTAACCCTTGATTTTTCCACTTCAGCTTCTTGATAACTTTCATGTCTTCATTCATTTGTGGCCTCCTCAGAGAGACCTTCCTTGGCTGACCCTGTAATCCAGGTAACCTTCCTGTTCTCTCTGCTTCTCTCTTCTCTTATCTTTTGGTTTGAGGTCTACATATTAGGGATACTGACTCTTAATCATATTCATGCAAATATTTTTCCCACACTTGTTTGTCTTCTAGTGTTCACTTATGTGATATATTAAAGTTGTAAATTTATCTGTAATAAAATGCATTGCTCCTTTCCATGTGGTTTTTGTATAGTAGTCAAGACTAACAACAACAGCAGCTAACTTCATTGTTTATTAAGGAACTTCTGTTAGGCCTTGTTCAAAGTATGTAATGAACTAGCTAGTGGTAGAGCCAGTATTCTAACCTAGGTCTGTCTACCTGATCTTTTAACCGTGCTGTGTTGTCATTGTTCTGGTTAGAGCCACTAACTTAACTTGAATCTACACATTAAATCATTGTATGAAGCGACAAAAGGGGAATAGTAATGAACTTCAGTTTTGAGTGATTTTTATATAAGGTTTAAAATGGAATTTTTTATTGTGGTGAAATATGCATATCATAAAATGTACTGTTTTAACTATTTTTTAAGTGTCATTAGGTACATTCACAATGTTGTACAACTGTCACCACCATCCATTTCCTCACATTATTGAATTTTAATAGTTATACAACGTATATTTAATTTCTTTCACAGCATGATAGATTTACCCCAAACTCAATGAACGTTTTAATTCCTTATTAAAATTTTTTTGTTTTTACCAGTTTATGCAATATACTATTGCATTGTTGTAGTCACTAATGTATATGCTTCTATATTTTCTAAATTTCATTTAACTTATTTTTTATCTGCATGCCCATGTATTTACATAGTCCATATTCTGTGCTATTCCTCCTTGTTTCTGTATAGCATTTAGCAGCACAGTACCCAATTCTCTGTAGGTGACTGTTAAATTTATCATTGAATTGATAGAGGGACTACAGGCGCCCACCACCATGCCTGGCTAGACTGTTTTCTGTGTAGTCAAATATTGCAGGCAGCCTTAAAATCAAAAGACCTACCCTTCCAAATAATTTCTAAAGGTCTTCTAAAGTGTTGGTTTTCAGTTTTAGCCACAAAATACTTAATCATAATCATAAGAATTGCTCAGCTTTAATATTGTCTGTTAAAATTTTAAGCCTCTTGTTTGTCACTCAGTAGGCTATTCATTTGCTGAATCTCTTTGTCTTTATTTCTCAATGACTTACTTATATGCCAAATTGGGACTCTACCAAACCACTTTGTAACTAGATGTGTTTATAACTGAATCAGGCAAGTACATTATAATAAAGTGTTTTTCCATGTAGATCTGAATGTCACTTAGGGATATTTTTGGAACATCAGTTGTAAGGAGCTGGAATATGAACTACTTAAGTTTTCTTCTTTTCTTTTTTCTTCTTATACCTATCTGTCTATGGGATTGTAAAATTTTCTTTTTTATGCCTATTTTCCCATAGTTACTTTTATATAACATGTCAGATTTAAAGTGAAACAACGTAAAACTTTGTCCCATTTAAAAATATTTGTCATTTTTTTAATGTACTGGGATAAGGCAGAAAAGGAATGTCAAGAGAGCCTGAGTGCAGCCATTTTGACTGATGCCAGACCCTAACCACCCTGAACAGGGAAGTTGACAGCAAGTCACTGGCCTGGGACCACCTAAGGATGAGTGAATTACTAAGCCAGGTGTCTTACAAACTGCTTGCACTTACCTTTCTATGACTGCCATTTGTGACTAACCTTTATGGCCTGACCTCAAAGACGATGGTGGTCACGTATGACTGTTGAATATTTTAAAACATTACCATTTCTCGTACCTCTCCTACTCAGGAGAGGACCCCTACCCTGTCTGTGGAGTAGATCTATTGTCTGTCTCTCAATAAACTTTCTGTCTCTGTCGCAAGTTGACTTGCTCTGAAATTCTTTCCGTTGTGAATCCAAGAACCCACTTGGTGAGTTCAGATGGCCTTCCTCCCTTCACTGGGAAACACCCTACATTAATCTGTTCTCTGGTATATATGGAAGTTAGTAGAGTGTGTTTTTCCAAACTGGAAATACAAAGAAGACATACATAGATTGAATTTTGTGTATTCAGTAAAGGAGAATCCTCACTTCCCATTGGATGATCGAATTACTTATCTTTTATGTGATGAATAATGTACGCTTACTTCACTGCAGAGTATTCATTACTGTAGTCCACAGATCAAATTACTTCCTCAGTGCTAATGAATAGATGACCAGTTTAATTTGTTTTAGGATCTATCTATTGGGTTTTTTAAAGGAGGCTCAATAAATGGCACTCCACTTCCCAATGCTGAACGAATTGAGAAAGAAAAGAGTAAGGCAAATAGGAAATAAACTTCTATATCATTTTTATTATTAATAAAGGCTGAGCTGGACAATGTAGCTTTGTGAGAGGTCAAAATGGGTCAGCTAGTATTGAATTAGAGAATTAAGTATCATACCTTCTGGGCAGAGCACATGTTCCCTGTAGCTGGTTTATTCCCAAAAGGAAGATAGGTGGAGCAGAGCCAAGCATGCCCAGTTTATTCTTCCCAAATTAGTCAGTTAGATAAGTTATTCCTCCTTCCATGGAAGAGGAGGTAAAGGGATGGGATGAGGGAAGAGTTTAAAAATGAACGGAAACCACTCACTTTGAAGACATATCAGTAGTGGGAACATGCACACACACACACGCATCTTACATTCTTCATTACCTTTGCTAAATGCTTTTAGGAATCCATCAGGTGTTATGGTTTCTCTACTTAGTAAATTCTATCAATTTTTTAGTAT